ACAACACACACAAACACTCACACACACATACAGCACAACACACACAACTACAGACTCAACACATACAACACACAAAAAACATACAGCTCAAACACACAACACACACATGCACAACACTCAAATACATACAATACACACACAAAACACACACATATACACAAACATAACACTCACCTGACACACAAACACACACAACACAGAAATATACACTTGAACACACACAGTACTCACACATTACACACACACACACACACACTCATTTGTCTGGGCACCGTCACAGATAAATAAGAAGGAAGTGCCGGGTGGTGGTGGCGCACGCCTTTGATCCCAGCACTTGGGAGGCAGAGGCAGGCGGATTTCTGAGTTCGAGAGTTCGAGGCTAGCCTGGTCTACAGAGTGAGTTTCAGGACAGCCAGGGCTACACAGAGAAACCCTGTCTCGAACCCCCCCCCCCCCAAAAAAAGAAGGAAGTAAAAAAGACTTCTCATTCAGCGGCTCTTCCATCCCCAGAGCTCTGGTCCTCCCCTAGCCCACGGAGCTCCTAAGGTATCCATGCCAGTGCCAGGTCAGTGCCCTGCTCCTGCCTTCGATGGATTGCTAGTAATAAGATGCTATCAGCAAACTAAAGCCATCTTCAAGAAGTCCTGTCCCTTTCCCAGCCAACTGGGAGCTCTAGCTCTGGGGAAGAAGGGTTGCTGAATGGGAAGTCTTTTACTTCATTTTTATTTATTTGTGATGGTGCCCACGTGCACCAAGGCTGTGTGACCTTGAAGATTTCTCTATGTGATGCATTCCCTGTACCTGGGAAACTGAGATCACATCTACCTCAGCCTCAGCCCACAAAGCTCTTATACATACCCAGGCCAGGCCAACCCCCACAGTGGAGTGTGTGTGTGTGTGTGTGTGTGTGTGTGTGTGTGTGTGTGTGTGTTTGAGTATTGTGTGTTCAAGTATGTATTTGAGTGTCATCTGGCTCCAGGGAGACCTGGACAAGGCTTGGAAATTCATTCATTAGAGCTGGAAGACACACAAGCCAAGAACTGACTGCACAGAGTCGATTTGACTCCAGGCTTGTGCTCTCCACCATGGTCTCTCTTCTCCACCATATCTGCTGGTCTCTCTCAGAGGCACAGAGAGGAAGGAGGCGTGGCCAAGTTCTCGAGAGTTTTCTTACTTTTCCTCTCAGAGCACGCTAGGGACCCTGAAGATCGAACTCAGGAGGAAACAGGTAAAACCATTTTGATCTTTTCTCTTGTTTTCAACAAGTAAATATGGAGTGGCCTCTGGGTGCTGGCTGTGGGGACCTGCTGGGGTTTCTCATCTACTTTACAATAGGCACAGACAGACCTCACTCCCAAGCCCCAACCCCTTACCCCCAGCCGGTACTCCCCATCCCTGTCTTTCAGCACCCCCTTTTCAGGCTTTCTGGGTCCTCTGAGGTAGAAGAAGCTGTTGAGTGCTGGGGAGGAAATGATGGGACCAGGCAGCTAACCTTGAAGGCTCTCAGAAGGTGACCAGATCACAGATCTTGACTGTATGGCCCTGTCCTGTGCTTCTGGACATAGTAACGGTTGCTGCTGCATTCAGATCTACCTCCTCATCCATCCGGTCCCCAGGCTCAGGTCCCTGCTTTTCATGCTGTAAATCCCTTGAGTAGGTAGGCAGCTTCGCTCAGGAACTGCCTGCTTCCTGCCTTAGCTGAGTTCTCCAGCCAGGCTCTGCTAAGGCTGGAGGTGCTCCGGATAAGTACGGTGGTCCAGCACCTGAAGGCTTGACGGTTGCCACAGGCTTTGTTGTAGCAGCCCCCAGGGTGTGTCAAAGTGTGTCCTCCAGAGCTTGCAACCCTGCAATGCTTTTGTTGGAGAAGATTAAAATGGATCTCATGGCCAAAGAAGTATGGCTGCTGCCTGTCTAAGCTCTTTAGACAACTTGAGAAGTCTCTAAGTGAGGCCTCCTGCTGAACTCTGCTTTTCCCCAAGTGGCTGTGACCTTGAAGATATCTCTGTGCGATGCATTCCCTGTACCTGGGAAACTGAGATCACATCTACCTCAGATGATCTGCCCCAGCCTCAGCCCACAAAGCTCTTATACACACCCAGGCCAGGCCAACCCCCACAGTGGAGGCAGAACCCAGCCCGCTCTCAGCAACTGGACTAGCTTTCCTCACACCTGGTCCTGGTCACCCCACAGTCCTTACTACCTGTGCCCTGCGGCCTGGGAGATAGATAGCTGGAGAGAGGGAGGTGATGATGTTGTACAAGGTATGGGAAACCTTGGTTGGGTGGGCGGAAGGGAAGGGACACAGCTCTGCTCTCTGACACCGGAGCCACACTCTGTTGGCACATCCTGCAAGATCCCTGGGGACTCGTACCAAGATCACAGCCACAAGAATAGAGTTAAATTTAATTCTACATAAAGTGTAGGATGGTGGAGGTCAAGCTCGTTGGAGAGAGAGAAAGAGAAAGAGAAAGAGAGAGAGAGAGACAGAGACAGAGAGACAGAGAGAGACAGAGAGACAGAGAGACAGAGAGAGACAGGGAGTATCAGTTGTAAATTGGTCACCCTTAAATTGGTCTGTCAGGCTAGTGCTGTATACTGCTACTTATTTAATACACTTTATAATGGCTTGGTAAGCCAGACTAGCTTCAAGCTTGTATTCACAGACCCAGGCTCCTAAATTCTGGGATTTTTAGGTATACACTACTATGGCTGGCCCGACGCATTGCTTCTAAAGCAAGACATTTCTCATGACAAAATGAGAAATGGTCATTTCTCATGGTCAGACAGTGGTTGATCAGACATCTGGAGGTCCCCACTACCACCGGGTAACAACTGGCTGATGTTAGAAAAGAAATGCCTGCCCTCTTGTTCCCTATCAGCACCCAGGGCTCAGGAGGGGGTCGTTCGGACCACTCTCTGTTTCTAAGGCTTTCTAACTCCCTCCGAAATGTTCTGCTGATGTCATACTTCACTATGAGTTTAGTTTTACTTTTTGGGATAGGACTACGAATTGAATCTAGGTCCTATACTTGCTAGGCAGGGCTTTACCACCGAGCCACACCTCCAGCTGGGGGATTCTAGGCAGGGGCTCCACCACTGAGCCACGCCCCCAGCCCCTCACTGGAGGATTCTAGGCGGGGCTCTACCACTGAGCCACGCCCCCAGCCCCTCA